CAAGAAAAAAATTAAAAAGAAATTCAAATAAATGACCCTTGGATAAGATCGTCACCTCTAAAATATATCAAACCTAATAGTGATTAATAATTGTGACTGTTATAAGCGGACGCTCGGCGATACATGCTTCCGGCATACTCCGAATTTGTGTCCTGGTAGACTGTTGCGCGACGATCTTCTTCCGGAAGAAACTCCTTAACCTCCCATGTATTGGGTTTGATACCGACGGAGAATTCGAGGTCTTCCTTCGTAATGTAATCCCAGAACTGGGGATGATCAGCACCCGCATACATTAGTGTGGAGCAGGGCTTAGATAATGGAAACTGCAACCAACGTACCTTGTAAACCATCATGACCGCTAACAGATTACAGATGGTCGTAAAGAACAAACCGTCCAAGTAGTGTTGGACATTCTCGCAGATGGTGTCACTGAACGCGTAGAGGAGCACCTGACCGCAGATGAAGACCAGGAGGCCGAAGGCGATATGACCGAGAGGCCAGCGGTCTTCGAGCGTGTTCATGACCAATAGGAGTTGCATGATGAGGTAGACTGCTATACAGATCGCGTTGAGGAGGTATAGTACTACAAACATGCCGATGGTGTTGGTGGGACTGAGCCCGCCCCATGACTTGAACGTCAGGAGGGAGATGACGAATGAGATGGCGAACATCGCTGTGGAAGTTAGACGGAGGAGCCAGACCGAGAGCGCTGTGCCGTCCTCGTAGAGCTGGAATCCCACGAATCCGTTGACGAGTAGGCTTGTGCATAGGGCGGAGGTTAGACCGTTTTGCGCAGCGACGAAATAAGGAAACGGGCCGCTCCTGGGCGGAACCACACCGGCATCGATGACCAGGGAACACATTGTTAGGAGCATATAGATGTAAAAGAAGGTGATGATCTCCTTGCGACCTGGGTACTCGCGCATGGGGTTAGTGGTTGTTCTCCCATTTTGAGTAAATTGCGACTGGGGGTGGTTTACGTACCGACCGCGGTGAACTTGGACCTGATGTGTAGGATCATAATGACTGTCATTGCCAGCGCTATGATATGGACGAAGGACGCGGCGCCTTCGAAGATGATTGTGTTGGCCAGTTCGATGTTTCGCGCATAGCAATTGGGAATGATGCCGGTTGCGCCTGATATCGAGGAGGCCGGGCCCACGAGGGAGCACAGCGGCAGCGCTGCCTTCTGACAGATCGTGTCAAAATCACCGAACCCCATTTCGACCGCCCGTTGAACCTGGGTGTGGTATAGCTGTGTGATTGTTTGGGTCGTTCGATGATATCGCAAGATGAGCGGATCCGAGCCGTCTCCACAACGACGGACGGAGACGGGGTTCCAGTGATCCAGAGAGGACTTCCGCGGCGTCCACTGGAGGGTCTGCAACGAATGACGGGTGTATTCCGAGGAACAAAGCAGGACGAGACGGGTGTATTCCGAAGAACAAAGCAGGACGAGGGAGATCCCGACAGTGAGGCGACGACAATTAACGTCTGACGAGGGATTTTGGCCTTGTTTCTCCTTGGTCTGAGGCTTCTGGAACCTGAATCACGAGGTACGCTAAATCCAGATCCAAGCTAGCCCAGATAAGCTTAGTCTCGCGCTGCTATTCAGGGATTAGCGTGCCTCCCCGGACAGGTCACCTTTACGCTAGCCCATTTTGGTAACTTGTTTATCTGGGCCCTAACGCAGCATGCTAACCGCCTCTGGTTAGGTTGGAGAAGCCTTGCTATACAAAGTTCACATTCTCCAGAGATGTCGAATGAGGCCACCGCAGGAGACAAGCCTGGCCATGCAAGTGTGGCCGCATGAGTGATCTAGGCAAAGAGTATGTGCCGCGCACAGTTTCACGTATTATTGGTCTTGTTTTTCCCTGCGATAATTGCCTATAGACAACGAAGCATTTGACCCTTGTTCGAAAAAGCTGCGCCAAGAATCTTAGTACGTTCATGTGTATTCTTCCTCCACGTAGACTGTGGTGAGGGCCAGTATCTGCAGATCGTCTGACACCATGTCAAGATAAAAGACGTCACTGGAGTTGTATGTATCGGCATATACGAAAAAACCGGGGAATAGTTTGAATCCGGCAGGCGCACAAAGACATTTTGACAGGGGCCCATATTTTCCTTTATTTGCTTTTTTACCCCCTTTACTCAGCCCAACAGAACTGGCTATTCTGGCACATGATTGCCGGTAGACGTAAAAAGTAATGTTAGCCCGAAACCAAGTCAGGAAAGCCGATCCACTGTCAAGGTGGTGGAAAATCCCACAGCCCTGCATCTGAGTGGCCACCAACTTCAGAGCTGGAGGTCTTAGCACCTTCTAGAACGAGTATACCGCTTTGGGCGGAGAATACTGACCCTGTCGAGTGTATGTATGGATAAGATCCTGGAAAGGTATTACATCACATCTGCGGAGTGGGAGAAAAAGTTGAAACGAGCTTCCCCTAAAGTTTTACAGGCATCGAACCCCACCTGCATTGTCCTTCCTCCTTTCTTTCTTGATTATTCTTTTTTCCTTTCCCTCCTTCCCCTGCAGCACCCGATTGTCCCCGATCTATCTTTGTCACTCGTCGAGGTTCCCATTCTGGTGATATAATGCCATTGTCAATCTTACGACCAGCACCGTTTTTGGGTCTTGGATAGCTAATCTTGATTATCTGATGCTCATTTTGACAATGGGCCAATTTAACTTTTCTCACAGCCGTGGACCGATTCTTCGTTAGCCGCAGTCAAAGCCCGACGGGGGCTGTTGTAACCTTGTCAAGACATGCCGTTCTCCCAGTGGGCCACTATCCCGCGACATCCAACTTGAAGGCTGATTCGGATTCGATCTTCCATCGTATACTTTGCAATAATGGTCTACTAAGGTTCAAACGAAAAAGGCAGAACCACCGTGATTTTCTTGGCATATTGATTCTTCAATCAGCTTACGTATCAATCGCCAACGGCGGGTCATACTCTCTTCCCGCCTGCGGATAGATGCAACTATCTTATGATATCATGGTTCCTTGACCGATGGGGCTAAGATCATAATATCGTAGACTAAGGAAAGAAAAATAGCAGTTATAATAAAAACCGAAAAAAAAGAGGATAATAAAATTTAAACCAGTGGTCGGATTTAGATCCGAGCCACGGATTTCAGACCCTGAGGCACCCACCGGTTGTTTAAACTTTAAGCCCGAACGGCACTACGCTATAGTTAGTACCATTCGGTGAATTTTATGGCTCCAAGTGCCTTTAGTGAAACATGGAGAAAAACTACTCAAGTCACCGGAGCACTTCCAGGTGTTTTTCCCGGCTATACGGAGCAGATTAGGGTACGAGCCGATCTGTTACTACGGCGCCGAAGTACTTTACGGAGACGGGAATGTGCATACAGTTCAGCTTAATCGAGTCACTTTTCATCAGGGGCTGAGTCTAATTAAAGGAGGCATATGGATACCCAACACTGTGAATTTTTTCTTCTCTCTTCTTTCCGTTTCTTTTTCTGCTTTTCTTTTCCTCTTTCCTGTTCTTTTTTTTTCCAGAAAAATAACGCTGTGGAGCGGAAGGAATTGGACATGAAATGCCGCCGGGTCAGGCACCATGAACCTTACGATATTCACCCAATGAGAAACCTACCGCCCATGCGCAAAATATCTGGAACGCTAAACCAACGGGCTTTGTCGGGTGTGATAATGTAATTGATTCAATTGCCTCGTCATTGACAATGAATACACAACTCAGGTTCAGGTATCTGCCTTCCAAGGTTGCGGGGGGTCTTGGCTAGGGGAAGAACTGTGGAGGAGGGTCTTCAACAATGAGTAGGACAATCCCAACGGTTTCGTGCCGTTACATCGGGACTTCACTGATCGGATTAACCTCCACCGATGTTGTTTGCTTTAGACCTACTCCAGACTTGCTGGTGGTCTAACCCACGACACGTCCAGGACTTTTGCCGTCAGTCATGCATGAAGATCCTAGTTAGCGCCACGTGTAGATGAAGCATCAACGGCTGCGAGGGACCACGTCGATCTCCCATTGCCCCGATCGGTCCTAAAGCAGATGAGGCTTCTCTCTCCTTGTGTGGAACGTTCCTCTAACGTTACTAGAGAAGTTAGCTGCCGCGTCGTTAGTCTACGTCCTTAGTTTCACTATTTTCTAGATTGCTGCAGTTCCAATGACGCTTCACGGAGATGGGCCGGTCACCTTGCAGGGATATTTTTTTTCCCTTTTATTTCTTTTTTCCTTTTATTTTTTTTTTCTTGCTCTTGATGCCAGACTACTTCAGTACTCTGGAAATGGATCGTCGGGCATTACCTTCTTTTT